GAGAGAGAGAGAGAAAGAACCAAACATGCGATCGAAGGGTTATATTCTCTTGAAAGCGCTCGTACACTATTGATCAGATCGCGGACTGTGAATTGAATTTTATATGAAGACAATGAAGTCGACGACACACAATATATTAGTGGTCCCACGGCAATATTTTGTCGGGCCGGGGGACGTTTTTATAAGAAAGGTTTTAGATCTCCGATTTAAGAAATAAGATTACAAAAAAAAAAAGTGAATAAAAAAATGCGAAAAAAAGCGTAAGGTTAAAGTAAAAAAAATAATAATAATAATAATAATAATAAAAAAAAGTATAAAGGTTAATAAGTTGTGTTTTTGAAGCGAACCAAATGATTACTCTAAATAAATTGTAAAAAGGAAAAAAAAAAAAAGAAGAAATTAATAGAGACTTGACTCGGCCATACGTAACGTAAGATAATAAGGAACGAAACAAAATACAAACAAGTAAGGGAAAAAAGAAGGGGGGGGAGCTAAGTCTTGTTGGTTACCCCTTTTTTTAAAGGATGCATGAGAGAGAGCGAGAGAGCGAGAGAGATAGAGAGAAAGAGAAATAAGAATAATCCGCCATTTTTGTCCATTGATCGTGAGAGAGAGACCTAACTTACGCAAAAAAAAAAAAAAATAATAATAATAATAATAACGAAAATTATAAACTTATATAAGGGGATTAAGGTGACAAAAAAAAGTGTTTATATTCGAGGCAATATTTGTTACAATACAACTAGAGGATAAGTTGTACATCGTTCTAAGGGGCTCAGTACTCAAAAGCGGGAGGATCCTTGTTGATTGCTGAGATAAATAGAGAAGAGTATAAGAGTAAGGAATTAAAAAAAAAAAAAAAAAAATATGAGTGAGAATGATAGCGAATAAAAAAAATCGGAAGAAAAAGGAGAAATAACCATGTTGTGCGTTGCTATTTGGCAAGAGTTTCTCAGAATGGGAGAAAAAAAATTATAACTTATCAATCGTAGGATATGTGTATATCGATGAGAAAAAAAAGGTACTAACTAACGAATTAAGGGAAAAAAATTTAAGAAAACAAAGGACAATTAAAACAAAACGTATAGATGCACTATAATTAAAACTACTACTACGTGCTCGATGATCGTTGCGTTGACGATAATGATCGTTCGTTTATTATTTTTCGATTCCTATTCACGATATTGTGTTCCGTTTCCACGACTTATCGATATTATATTTTTTTCGTTCTTTATTTTTTCTTGTTTTTTTTTTCTTTTTTTTTCTTTTTCATTTTTAAACGTCCAACCACTGGGAGGACTGTAAAATTGTTTCTACATCACATTCTTGTATTTTTTTATTACGAATTATAATAAGATGGTTACTACTACTATTATTATTACTATTGATAATATATTATTATTATTATTATTATTACTATTATTATTAATTACTATTATTACTATGTGTAATTATATATACATATAAGATTACAAAAGAATAGGTTTTACGGTAGAATAAACAGTTATATCGCGATTTTATCCGACAATGAAATATATTTCGGAATTTTCATTTCAAAATAGTGAGCAGGACCTAACGCGTAAGGTAAAGAGGAAACAAAAAAAAAAAGAAAAAAGAAGTAGATTTAAGCAATTAGAACTTGTAATCATATCATAATATTTTGTAGATATATGTATATATATATTATACACACGACACACACATCTATCTATATATATATATATATATATATACATATTATAAATGTGATCTACGGAGTATGGTATGTTTAAATCAGGAGAATATCGTTCCCTAAATATATTAATAAAAAAATAATTTTTTAACACGATCTAAGATCAAGATCAAATACAATTTTCATACAAATTTGATGGTAATTCTTTAAGAGCAAAAATTAAGGATAATGTAAGGATGTGCAAAGAAATTTTACTATTTTATCTCTTTCCCCTGCCCCTCCCCTCCCCTCCCCTCCCCTCTTTATATTTTTTTTCTGTTTTACTTTAAATTTATAATAATCACGTATGTGAAATGTATGATGATCGCGAAAAAGGAATATTTTTTCATTTCTTTGATATATACATCGCGTGATCTATACATTACACATGGAAGGAATGAATATAAATAGCGTGCAATGAATATTGGGAAAAAAAATTGAAAATCGACCGTATGCATTCTTGTTTTTAAGGAATTACGTTATATACCGTGTCGTAATTAATTTGCTTGAAGAATTATATTCGCGTTGAACGATACGCTCCTGAGAATTCCTCTCCAGTGCGATGTACTCTAGATAGATACACATTATGCAAGTGCGAAAAGAAACGAAAGAAAAAAAGATTGAATTTAAGAAGCAAAAAAAAAAAAAAAAAAGAAAAGAAAATAACAAATAAAAATATAAAACGCGTTCTCATTTATAAGAAAAAAAAAATATAAAAAAAGAAAAAAAAATTGTATTCGAGAGATCAAGCACGCATGCCAGACTGTCGCTTATTTTCTGACACTTTACCTGTACATCATGATCAGCGTGTACGGTAAAGTAAATTTTACTTACTACGCTAGTATACACGTTTAACAACGAACACTTGGTAAAAAAGGATAAAAAAAAAAAACCGAAAAAAAAAAATGAAAAAGAAAAAGGAGAAAAAA